TGTGCGTGTGTGCCAGTGAATTGCATCTACTCGGTAAGTTGAGCATAGACGCAAGTAATAATGACAATCGAATCGACAACAACAAGTATTCCAGCAGTACTAGTAATAGCACATCGACAATGCTCAATCTTCTTGTTTTTCTTCTCCTTCTTCATTTTCTTCTTTTTTCTTTCTACTCTTCGTCATGTTATTTTTTTTCTAATCATATCTAGTGGACTGAACACAGAACCAGTCATTACTACACAGTGCAAAAATTCATGTAAAAAAAGCTCATATAATTTGGGAACAAAAGAAAAAAAAATTGTCTCTCGTATGCATCAACATGCATTAGAACAAATTTTTTTTCTGTTTGTTATAAAACTAAATCCACTATCTAAACTAACTCAAGTAACACATGTATACAGCTGTTACATGTTACATATATAATCATGTCTTATTTCTGTATATGTGACACCTTTTCATTGACATGCACATTTTTAGTTTCTTGTTTTTCTCTTTTGCATAGGAGAATAAAAAAATTGTGCTCACGTAGACAACACAAGCAAATTGAAAAGAAAAATGATATTTCAACATGCATTCGCATGCTTCTAGTGATTTCCGATGGATGGCCACTTTTACTTTCTATCAAAAACTCTTCTCTTCAATCTTCATCGAACGTTCTTGAGTACACACGCATATCAGAAAAAAGAGAGGGAGACGCGAAAAAAAATCTCGAGAAGATATGCAAATGTCAAGCACACATATAGAAAATGTCACGCTCGATGTATTGGCAACGTATGTCCATTTCTTTTGTTTTGTTTTTTAAATAAAATACGTTGGCTCAAAGAAGAAAAAAATAACAATAAATTTTCTTTCGTTCTCATCTCATGTATATATTCAAATACCTTTTTCAGCTGATTGAACATTGATTCCAGCTATATTTCCTGCTACTGCTGATGATGAAGATGAAGTTGTTTGATGATGATGATGATGTAAATCATGTGTTGTTGAATGTTTACCATCGATGGGACTACTATTTTTGAGCGACGAAGATCCTTCTTTATCTTTGGACTTGGTTTTCTCACTTAATTTTGACGATATACGCTCTTTTAGCGCCTGCATGACTGACTAGACGCAGTAATGACAGACAGAGACAAAAAAAAAACTGTCTATTCAAACGTTTTAATGTTAATATTAAGATACTTTCTATGTGTATGTTACACTTTATGTTTCTATCTTGTGCTACTATGATAGCAGTGACGGTGGTGGTAGTGGCGATAGGTTATTGTCGCTGTTGTTGATGATGTTGCTTTTACTTGTTTTGCTTCTTGTCGTCGGTGATGGTAGTGATGTTGGTGCAGTATAGACGAACAGTCAGTAGGCAGTCAGACTGAGAGAAGAGAGAGAAAGAGAGATAGTCTATCGGCTTTTTTGATTTCTTGGGCATGAGCTTGGTGCGACGACGCGAGAGATATTTATCGCAATATCTTTCTGACACAACGAACGAGCAAGCGAGCGAGAGGGAGAGGGAGAGGGAGAGAGCCAACGAACGAATGAAGGAACGAACGAGAGAGAGAGAACGAGAAAGAGCATATAAGCGCATGGAGAAAGAAAGAAGAGAAAGAGTAAGCAAGCGAAAAGAATCAAGCATGCATGCAAGCAAAGAATCATAAGGAGAGAAAAAGAATAGGAAAGAAGTTTTACTCTTTGTGTACCGATGTATTTGTACAAGTATAGATATACACTATCATTACGTTGACAGTATTGTTGAGGAATCATAAACATCAAAATAGATTCTTGTTCTATATATTTGCCTAGTGTTTCTTTTTTATATATTTCGTTCTTTATATTCAAGAGATCATGACACTTTATTCGTCATTTTTATTTTCTCGTGACGATCATGTTTTATATCTTGATACTATGAGAAAAAAAAAGGGCATCGACGTCCTTGACTCCACACATTTTCTTAGTTACATATAAAGGTATTATTTAAATATACTATTAGATATATGAATTTGATTGTTTCACTCTCGAGCCACATTTCTATGTTAATAATTGTGCCTATATTCTAGTTCAATTATGCAGAAATGATTGATAGAACTAGTAATATATTGATCTTGGATACAATGAAATAAATATAAGTAGTAACAATATAATTATATTCGATAGATCGTTATGCATGACAGTAGATTCGAAGAAAAAAAAAACTACGAGAATGATTATGATAATCGATTTGCTAGACAGGTCATTTCTTTTTTTGCATGTTAATCATCAAGTAGCGTGTTGCCGAATAATAGAATTACTTGCTTACGGGAGTTCATTGATGCGTGTGAAAGAAAGCAACAATAGTATTATTATAATGTTACTGTTTTATTTCATTTCTACAAAAGACAGACATAACTATAGTTCGAGATGAAATCTAATGAATTATTTTATTAATATCTCGTGCTATTCTGTTAGATATAAAACTAATGTAATCAGAAAAAAATATTTAATTAATGTTATTTTTTTCTCCTATATTTCTGCCACTGTCATGCATAAAGAACGTTCATATATGAAATTTCTTATACATCAATGTCAATGTAACCCTATTAGGTTTTCTTTAATATGATGTCTATTTCAATTGAAGTAAACAAAAAGAAAACGTAAAAACAAGACATCTGATTTGATTCGTCTAAAGTTTTTTATTATTAATTGATGTCATCACCTATCACAAGGCCGATAAATTTTCTAAAAGAAGCTTATCTCAAATCCTAATCTTATTCATTAAACATTATGAGTTGTTGATAATGTGTCTTTTATGCAGTAGAGTGAATAATTAAGAATAGAAGCAAATAGAAAATAAGAAATACACAATATATTTTGTCAACATCTACATTTGTTATTGATAAAAAGGAAAAAAATAAGGAGACAGAATATCATTCTATCATTTATATTTTCTTTTTCTTTTTCTTTATAAGACATTGATTTATTATGTGATTACTTTCTTGTTTTGAGCTCTTAAAAACTTAAACGCTTAAGATATTCTTTGTTGTTGTTTTTCTTCTAATTAGTTTATTATATGGTTTTCGCACGTGCCGTAATGAATAACTTCATGGTCATCATACTATTACAACAGACGTGCTATTTCTTTTTGCTATGTTTGTAAAGAAATTAAATCTATATACTTAACTATATGCGCATGTCCAGGGAAGCATGTTCATTTGACTTCCTTAAATGTTCATCTGTATAGAGTGCTGATCAAAACTATAATCACAACGTATTTTTGATTTTTTTCTTCTATGATACTGAGTATTGTAACTCAAATCCAAATAGTTAACCTGAATAATCAATGAGGTTTTCTATCAAATGGTTTTGATATCGATATTTCATTGATAGATTATAAGAAGATAGTTTCTGTACAACTAAATACGGTATCTTTGAAACCCTTGAAGACTGTGTAAAAGCTAGTTATTAACAGTACTAATCTTCCAGGCTAAAAAGCTCTGGCCTTCTATTGCGAATCAATCTTGTACTAACATTTATATAGAAAATCAAGGATTTTTGAAATACTTGTCTAATATTCAAATAGATGTTACGAGCAAATCACTGCCGGGAAACTAGGGATGTTTTTATTAGGAAAATAGTAGTTTTAATTAGAAAAAGTGGCTTGTAGACGTTGAAAACTCCCTCAATTTACTGAATTCCCAAAAAAGCATTTTGAAAAAAAAACATCGCCTTCTGAAATTTTTTGTGAATCATCATCTACTCTCGAGGATGAGTTTACCTTACAAAGCAAAAAATTCTGTCCAAAGTGTTAGGTCACCGCAATTTCTACGACCTTTTCTGATAAAGTTATAAACACCACGAAGAGCAAATAAATGTGATATTTAGCCATGTTTTGATGAACTTCATTTTTTGTAATGCATATATCCTTACACGAGAAGGTCGTAGAAAACACGACGATCTCTCATTTTGTTCAGAAATTGATGCTCTTTTACAGTCTTATTAGCAAATAATATTCATACAGTCTTCTGGGACCTCAAAACAACTGTGTTCAAGTTTTTCAGAAACTTTCTTCTCAGATATCATCTACGAAATTTTAATATAGAGTGCATTTAATAGAGAACTGCATTAGTTATTTAAATTTGAGTTAAAATCTTCAATATTGTAGAAAATAATAAATATATTGTTTTCAAATTTTTGATTAGCATTGTGTATAGATATAAGACGAAAATTATCCATTTTATTTACTCGAATAACTAACTAATAGACTAAAACCTAGTGATATTTTTACTTCTATATCTTGAATTACTTTATATAAAATATTTTTGCTATTAAATCCTCTTATCTTGTTGTTTTCCAGAGTGTTTCGTCAACACTTAAGAAAAAAGATATACTTGTTCAAAAATGAAATGTGCAATAAATACCCTGAAGAGACTTTTGTTTTTTGCTAAACACATATTGCTATTCTCTCTCTTTTTTGTTTTGTTCTGAGTATAGTAATAATGATAGCTAACAAATAGGATATTGGGTTTGATGAACATAGAAACGGAAATACTACATGTTCATCTATTCTCTTGGGTTTCCTCATATATTATATGAAACAGGATGTTTCATTACTTCTGTTTCTTGATTGTTGTCTGAAGAAAAAAAACAAAAGCTTTCTTTTTCTTTCGACTTTTAGCAATATAATATATTTTTTTTCTTTTTAATGATATTCAAATATTTTGTTCTTTTACTGTATTTTTGAATTACTTCAAAAACAAAAATTTTTTTTAAATAAAATACGTAGTGATAAATGATAATATTACTTTTATGGAATGCCTATAAATTAGATTAACATGGCTTAATTAATCTAACTTGTAAATGAATATTTTTTATCGGAAATTCAATTAAGAATTTTTTTCCTTTATTCAATCTATTTTTTTGACGCAATTTGTAATGTATTTATTTTCGTCTTTCTCAATATTTATTAAACACTTACTCAAAAAAAATGCAAAAACAAAATTTCTAGTTTTAGCTATAGGAATATATTTCTATCACTCACATTGGTCAATTAAATAATAAGAATGATAAGTTGAGAATGCTGCCGAACCGGTATGTTCATCGATAGTTTTGCCGGTTGTTGCTGTTGTGGTTGTTGCTGCTGCTGCTACTGCTGTTGTTGCTATTGATACTGTCGTCAATGATGCCCTACCTGTTTTGGGTATGTGACTAGTATTTATTGATATTGTACTAGCAACAACAGAATTATTAGATTCATCTGTACCAGCGACCCCTGCTTCTTTGTGTTTCTTAAATTTTCGAGATGGACGAAAACGTTCTTTAAATGATGGCATTTTATTATGATATTGATGTTCACATACGTATCTAATCTTAGTACTGTCAATGTTTCTATTTTTCTATTGAGTTCTCAATCTCTCGCACACTTTCCGGTTTCTTCTGCTTCCTCTTTTTCTCCTTTTTTTTTTTCTGAAATATTTTTTTTTCTTCTCGATAATTTTGTCGATGCACACATATATTAGACTAAAGCATGCGTCGCAGCGTGTTAATTCTTTGCCAGTGCTTTTTCTATTATTTAGCTTTTCTTCCTTTAGCTTTCTCGTTTTCCTTTTTATCATGTCATGCGCAAACAGAGAGATTCACGTTCAAAACTTATCCCTTTTCCACTTTTTTCGATAAGCATAAGAATCTTCTTCTTTTTTTCTTCTTCTTTGCTTGTGTCTCTTGAAAAAAGAACACCACTCCCTATGTCTTTGTTTCGTCTCATTTCCGTTCATCATATAAATAAGAAAATGCAATATAGAAAAACGGAAAAAAGAACTAAAGATGTAAATTGTTTTAGACGAATTAATACTCTAGCGATATAATTTTTCTATAAATATATATCACTTATAAAAAAATACATGATGGATTTAATCTATTGAGAGAAGCTGTATGTATGTGTGTTATTGTTGTTGTTGTTGTCATTCTCATCGTTTTTTTTTCTTATTTATTACACTCTTGTTCATCCAATCCTTCGAGACAATAGTTTGCGAAAAGAAAATAGAACAAAAGCTTTTATGAAAAAGAAATAAGAACACATTCGTTGTTTTTCTATACACAGGATATCATTAGTCTTTAAGATATGAACGTTATTGGTTTCGATTATTTATCATTGAAAAGAGAAAAATATTACACTTGGCTATAACGTCAAGTTAGAAAAATAAGAACGAATAGCATTATTACTATATATATATATATAAATAGATAGATAGATATTATATTGGAAAAATAAGACAATAAATGCAATCATTTTCTATACAAAATTTTTAATTCATTTATATAATTATACATGATCAACATACAAAAATATTGATTTTATTTCTTGTATACAACTGAATAGATTTTCTTAAATTAATTTTCTTTTATATGCATCAATGAGTAATACCTTGTTTTTTTTTATTGAATAAATATTTGCTAATGCTATATTTCTGAATTGAAACAAAATAAATACATTGTCACGTTATACAAATCATAGTTCTATTTTTAATTTACTAATACAACAAAATTGAAACATGATTTTTGCTTTTTTATTTTTCAAAATCATCATTAAATATGTACTCAATATGATTTTTAATATAAGTAGAAGAAAATACTGTTTAAGCATAGAATAAGATGATAGATAGAAGAATAGCGACTGAGTTATAATTACACCAAAATTAATTAACTCAAGGATTCTATCGAATAAAACTAATTAAATAGGATAAAAAGCTTAATTCATAAGACGTTTAATTTTAAAATACTTGCCTGTATTAACTATATCAGGTGTGTACAAGAACAGTTTTATCTCTATTTCGACTAGCTGTAATAATAACTGGCTTCTACATACATTCATCAATGACATAGATGTCGGCACATGGTGTTCAATTCAACAACATGTATTTATCGATACTTATATCAATGATTCTTAAGGTACTATGAACTTTACTTTTTTTTTTCTATATAGGTACGAATGAATCTTATAATAGTAAGATAGAAATTCAAAAATGCTCTATTTGAATATAAACAAAATGTTAATTGAAAAATGTTGATGGTGAGTGAAATCGAGTCGAATATTCTCAAACTTTGTATTGATTCATTGATATATTTATATGACAAAGAAATTACTTAAAAATATTGTCAAAAGGATATGACTTTAAAGCTAATGGTGGCGGCATAAGGAGGCAAAGGAGAGCTGAGTTTTTCCTTCCCAAAACTCTCTGAACCCTTGAAAATTTTAATACTTCTTGCTAAAGGTAGTCTTACAGACGAGCTTAGAGACAGTCAGCCCACTTCTCCCGGCCAAAAACTCTTGCGCCACTGCTATTTGAAGCAAATATTATCAGGGGAAGTCTGATGAACTTTTAGAAAAAGCTAAGATGTTTTCTTTTTAACAGAGAACAATTGAAGTTATCCGTATTTTTTACTAGCGAAAAAAAAAACAAAATAAAATAATCAGGGATGTGGCGAAGAGAAAAAAGTGGAGGGGTGCAAGAAAATTTTTTTCAAAAGTTAAGGGTGTATTCAGAAAATTTTTGAACGTGAGAGGATGCATTTACAAAATTTTAAAAAGTGGTGGGGTGCAGAACCCTATTTTTCCATCTTATGATCTTTTTTTTTCAGTAAAAACACAGATTTTTGCTGGGGAAAAGCGNACTAAAATTCCTTCTATTAACTACATTAGTTCACTTACATATGAAATTTGGTTTTATAACTATTTCATATGAAATGTTCAAGAACAATTCTTGGTGTAGACTTATGTGATCGTGTACCAAGTGCTAGAGTTATGGAGTTGTCAGTCCAACCTGCGATTCAAAATGTTGTGAGAAGAAATCGTTTAAGGTGGTTTGGTCACGTAAATAGGTGATGAAATGACAACAATCAGGTGCCATTGATAAAAAGGATCATGTTTTCATATTTTCTTATTAATGAACGTCTTGGTAATACTGGAATTAGTAAACACTGTAAGAACAAAATTCTCAAAGATATTGATAATTTCGGCATCAAAAACTGAAGAAGAGATACTAAGGACAAAAGCAAATAAAGACAATTGACAAATAAATATGCACAAGTTACTGCTGTCCATCGAAATATTAAAAATATATTGTTGAATTATGAAGTTCTTGCAGATGAAAGAAGGCCTCACGAATCTTAAGAGTGTGGGTGAGGGTGAGGGTATGGGTGTGAAGTTTGAGTGAAAAACAGACAGTCGCACCCTCACTTTTTCAAAAAGTCGATGGCGACCCATCTAGAACAAAATAATGAATATGTCGATCTGTATCTAAACTGTAGATATCTGGATATCCAATGTAGCATTCATACTCGTATTCACTTTTTTTACAGATATTCTAATATGTTTAACGCCTGTCACTAATCATTATTGCATTCAGGAACAAATAGTGTAAAAGTTGTGCAATTACACGTCATTATGCAATGACTCTATACGATTGTGACATTACTTTTGGCAATAGCAACCATAACATTTCTTCACTATATATATTCTCAGTTTTCTCTTCATTGCAATACAGTTCATTCTACAACTAGACTTTTTAGATTCTTTATTTTATCTGTGACTTTTACTTGTTCAACTCATCATTATCACACCATGGTTGCTGTAACTCGTGCTGCATTATCACGTCAACTACAATCATCAAATGTCAAAACTAAAGCATCACGTGCTATTAGAAAAAAAGTTACTAAAAAGAAGAAAACAATAGTTAAACAATCTATAGTAACATCATCATCTACCATTACTAAAACTACTTCAGCACCATTCCAAGCATATAATGATGTTCTAGGCAAAAGTAACATTACTGATGCTTTAGCATATGATCGATATTATAATCCAGTTGGAAGAGAATATGATTTAGGACGAGATGGAGCATTTATGAATTTTAGTATTTTAATTGCACAATTCTATAGTGATTTTCAATTTACTGATGCTGCAATGCAAGTACCCATTGATGAACTGAAAATGAAAGGTTTTGAAGTGAAACATGTGAAAAATGAAGATGAATGTATCAAAGAACTTGCTTCAAATCATTATCAAGTTGCATGGATTATAAGTAGCAACTGTACTAAGAATCCAGATATAATTTCATCTCTAACAACTTTTCATTCAAATGGTGGTGCGATATTTCTATTTGCTGATAATATACCATGGGTTTGTCATGCAAATGAATTTCTTGATAAAAAATTTGGTATTACTGTCGATGGAAATTATCATGGTGGAAATACAATGACTTATGAAGAAAATGGTCATCAAGAAAAAGGACATTTTGGTCAACATGAAATTTTTACTGGTATTAAAAATTTATTTGAAGGTATTACAATATGTCATCCAGTATATTCAACTGAAGAAAATCGTAAGATATTGGTTCCTATAGCAACAACAAGTGATGGTAATACAAGTATTGCTGTATATGATCCCTCATCAATTTCAACATCAAATGAAGGTCGAATATGTTTAGATTGTGGATTTACAAAATTGTATATCAATTGGAACTCAGCTGGAACAGCTCGATACATTGTGAATGCAAGTTGTTGGCTTTTACGAATTGAAAATCGTTTTTCATAGAAAAAGATGAACAATTTTATTAAACATATGTATTCTTAATTTAAAATTTTAGATTTATTATTCAATGAATTTCTCAAAAAATAAATATTTTTTAAACAAAACCATAGATCATCAAAGATCTTACTATAAAATAGACACATTTATCTTTATTAAAGATCAGTGATAACTGAGAGATATAAGTGCCAACAATTTAGCTTGATAGAAATAAGATTAATTCAGATTATTGTAGCCTTTTTCATATCTTCAAGGTTACATTTGTCTAACTGTTACCGATAGTCCAAAACTTGTTTTTTCAATCTGCTAGAATTTTCGAGCTTTGAACAAAAGTATTGTTTAAAATATTGGAAGTTTTAAAAATATCAATGTAAATTTAGTAGGAAACTATGCAATCCTATTGATAGATGACTCTCTCTCTTCACTTCATATGTTTGAACGAGCTTCTTAAATTGTATGTAGTTAGGAGATAATCTTGAATAATTTATATGTTATGTAAGACTGGTTATAAATTACAGAAACTTCCTGTTTCGCTCTTTTAATCTTATCAATTATTTAGAACAGTATTAAGATGAGTGATCTAATTGAAGTAGACTATATCATTGAATATTCGTACATAATATGCAAAATATGAAATCTTAAAATTCATTGTATTGAAGATAATTTGTTACCTTTTTTTACTCAACGAGTTACATTAATGATTTATTGTAGACAAACATATTGCTTTCTTAAAGCATACTTTAGTAGCAATTTAAGTTAAGCATTACGGCTTTGTTTTAAGATGAGAGACGTCATTTTATTACATTTAATAGTTTTGTTGTCAACTATTTTTCTAACAGTCATGAAGAACTTTTGTGACAAATGAGTTTTCATCATATACCGATTTTCATTTCTATATCTGAAATTATATCGTTCTTGTATTACAAAATACTGGTCGTCAGATCAAAGGCATGAACATAGACAATGATATTTTATATCATATACCATATCTTCATTCTATCTTTGGGGTATAGTTGAAAGTAAGAGTTTGAGTGAGAATATAGATAATGCTGTTTTTTAATTGAAATAGAATAAGAAGACAATAAAAAAAAATGTTTACTAGTGTGCAAGATAAATAAAAAAAGAAAAATTTCAATTAAGTGGTGATTTTCCATCATTATTATTATCATTTGATGGTGATTCTTCATCAAAAGCAGCATTATTTAATGGTTGACTTGTTAAGGCATTCAAAATCAACACGTATGCTGAACTATCGAATGGAATTTGTCCTGATTGAGAATTAGCAACATCACGCATCGATTGAAGTAATGTTTGAAAAGCATCGTCATTAGTTTGTCGTTGATTTGGACGTTGCTCGAAAGGTAAATTGGTTTGAGAAAGTGATGAATCAATTGCAGAATTAGGAGCATTCGTTTGAACATTGATTGGTGATGGTACTCGATACGGATATTGTTGAACACGATTCATTAATTTTGCTGAAGATTGACTAGATTTATATGTATGTTTTGTTGTGAACGAGCTCATTCCAGATGAAAATAAATTGTGATCCTACACCACCACCATCTGTAGATGATGAAACCATTTTAGATGTTGTGGTTGATGATGATGACGATGATTTTGGAGAATATGATGTTGTTGGTTGTCGATACGTTCTTTCATATTCACCTTTAATACATTTCATTTGCACTTTGTTCCGATCATCACTTGTTGATTGTAATGGTGGATAATTTGAAAATAAGTGTCTGTACGAATTACCTGAACCTGCTGCTACACCTTGTTCATGAGAAACTGATGGCATTGGTGGAATAGTATCACCAAGTGGTGCTAATGGTGCACTTTTCATACCAGGAATTGTATCATCACTTGTTGTTTTTATACCTAATGGAGGAATATATCGTGGTGGAAATGTTAATAGATAGAATGATGTTAATCAAATACCTGAATGTGAAATCATTTTTTTTTAATCCAAACTGATTGAATGATGTGGAAAAGATAAACCATGAGAAACTTGTGGACCAGAATGTGATAGAATAGAATTTGATGGATCCATTGTATGATGATAAGGATTCGTAGTCTGAATGAATAAAACATTTTAAACTGTTTTTGAAAATAAGAAAGGACATACTGTATGTTGCATATGTGGTTGTACTTGTGATGGATTTATATTACCAGCTTGTGCAGCCGTGAATGCATTGATAAGCATGTTTATGTGTGTAATTAAATCATTCAACGACTTGTCAACATTGTTTTGGTTATTAAATCTATGAGAACAAAATTCCAATGCTTTTCTAGAAGTTACTTAAGTTCTCCATTTTCTAATCGAACATCTTTAACTAAATCAAACCCCAATTTTTGATTCAAATTAATTTGAGTATTCTAAAATTTGTGAAAATTTTATTATTGCTTTTGATGCAAAGATATTCTACTTACTTCCATCTTTAAGGTTGCTTGATTTCCATTTCTCTTGAAATCTGTTGAAATTCGAATACTATTATAATAAAAATCGATTGAAAATTCTCGTTTATTATGATGACCTGCTAATGAAAAAGTATCGACAACATTCTTTAAAAAGAAGACAAAAAAACATTTTATGTAAACTATTCGTTTTTTTCTTACTCTTGGTGTATTAGTTTGAAAGTTTGTTCGTTCAAAATATGTAAATAAATGTTTTGCTATCAATTCAAATTTCTCTTCTAATTGTTGTGAGCTCATGCTTAGCAAATCTAAAAATGTAAAGGTTTTTTAATACATATACATAAAAAGATTGTCTAATATTGTCTATTATTGAAAAGAAGAACAAAGAGATATATGTTATAGATTATTCACTTTTTCATTCTGACGTCATTTTCTTTCTGTTCAAGTCACCACAAGGCATGTACCGATAGACTGAAATGATTTAGTCGTTACTTCTTATGACAAATTAAATTCTTTCGTTTGCCTATTCCTGTCCATCTTTTATCTTTGGATATGCAGAATAAATAAGTTTTATTGTGCAGTACGTAAAACGATTTCAATTACTTTTCAATGAATACATTTTTTAACAAAAATATATTCAAACAACTTTTTCCGTAAATTGTAATTTTGAAAACTTGAAGATATTTGAATTCAATTTAAATTAGATAGAGTTTTATTCCTAGGTTTACTCATTCATTCATGATATTAGTCGATAATCTAGTTATCGCTGAAATCACTTTTGAGGGTATTTATGTATAATACTATGCATATATATTTATTTAAATAAAGTCAATTTATTTCAAAGAATACAACTCATCATACATTAGTTTTTTACAACAATAAGCAAGACAATTATCTCTTTCATCTATATTTTTCAAAATATTCGTCAATAACAAATTTTTGCACAAGGAAAATATTCTTGTAAACAATTCGAATGTTTTTTATCACCATATAAAACTAATTTATTTATTTTAGCACAATTAATTCGTGTATCATCTCTTGTGAAATGATGTGTTATTCGTTGTAAAGATTCATAATTGATAGAAAGAATAATATCTTGGAAACACGCTTTAAAATGAAGTAGAAATTGTTCTATATAATCATCATGAACACTAACAATTATCAATTCATTAAGAAAAGGATATTCAATAACAGAGAAATTTCGATTATCATTAATTGATCTATAAAATTGTTTGAAATTTTGTGGTTTATCATTTTTAACAGATAATCTTTCCATAAGTGGAAATGACTTTTGTATTCCATTAAAAAATTCATGTTCAAATGGATGTTCATCAAATAATGACACTATACGAACATTAATGAATAATCCACCAGGAAAATTATTTGTAATAATGCCATAATATTGCATTAGAGACGGATAAGAATAGCTAAGACATCGACCTCGTTTTGCTTTTGGAAAATAATCAACATAGGAAATAACTTTAATATTTGAAAAGTCGATGAATGTGCATTGAATATCTTCTGTTGATGGGAGATTTATTTGATTATTGAGAAACATAAACGAGTCAATAGAAAATGAAAATCGATTTAATCGTGGCATATGATTAATAATATCTTTCTTCAAATTGTTTCCATCAATAAATGTTTTATCTTGACAGACTGTAAGACATAGAATGAGTTCTTCTAGATTAAACATTCGATGTAAAAGTGGAAGAATTCTATCATTATAATCACATGTTCCGTAATTGCAGGAGATAGAAAAACGTTTTAGATTTGGCAAATCGCCCTGAAAAAAACAAAATCTCTTTCATCATTTGATAACATAAAGCTTTTATACAACTAACTTGATTTTGAATTTCATGTGAAGAATGAATGTTAGCCAACTCGACACAGAGTGTATGAAGATGAGTAAAACGACCATCAAGAAGACAAAGACAATCATCAAAACATTGTACATTAATAATCAATTGCATAAGAGTTGAAGAACGAAAATTAGGAAGTAATGGATCATTAAAATCTAATCGAACACGATTTTTATACGATGATTCATATAATATTAAAGTAGTCAGACGTGTAAATACAACGAAGATGGAATTAAAAATGTTTGCTATTGATTCTAACATTTCATAGTTCTCATTATTACCATTAATCGCAAGAGTAAATGTTGTTATCTGATTTTTGAAAATTTCAGACGACAAGTTTTCATCTAAACATAGATACACAACATGAACAAGAAAAAACTACATAACATCAACGATCTACTCATCTGCAATTAAATCTCCTATTTGTTTAGAATAAAAATAATTCTATTGAAATTTCTTACTCGTAGAAAGATATTGAATTGACTCTTCATCGATATTGTAAAGACCAAGACTATTTAAATTAGGATAATCAGTAGCACATAAAATATGTTTCATAGATGATGCTTCGAGATCAAGCCATTTAATTTTATCATGAATATCAGGTAAAATTTGTAAACAATATCGATTAAGTATCGTATCACAATCTAATAGATCGATAAAATTACATTTCGACCATTTGACAAAGCTCAAACGACTTGTAAAAGTTGAATCATGAACAATTCTATCTATTCGTTGATTAATACCTTTTAAATAGTAAAGAACGTCAAAATTGTTCAGTTTTTGACAAATAATCATAAGAATTTCATCAGGTAAATCAGTAAATCTAACACATGGATATTCCATATTTATTCTCATTTATACATTCTTTTCTGTTTATAAAAGATGATATTTATATTCGTATTCTTATTCATTCCACTTAATCAATGTTCATATTGACGAGACAAATAACAATGCATTTTTCTACAGTCTAAACTGATAAGGATCCAAACGGACTGAAAAAAAATAAGACGAATTAAAAGTCAATTAACCAATATAATTGCTGTTATTACGTAGAAACACCAATCACGTTACACTTAATTCAACTTTAAGTTAATTCATTTTTCTCTATCTCTTTGATTCTTAACGAATAAATGTATAAGTGAAAGAATGTCATTATCCTCTTTCCTTATTGGTCTAATTAAAACTGCTTTAAAATTCTTCTCTTGCCTATGCGAAATAACAAATTTAAAAGCTGTAGAGCAGCGAATTGAACACAAAGATAATTTTCAACTTCACCTTCATCTACTAAATGACAATAGAAAGATTATGTTCAGTGATAAAAGATTCAATGAAGTAATTTTTGGTCAATCTAAAATTCTTCGTGGTGTATTTCTAGCAAGTATTTTCATTGCTGATAAGTTCATCGCATCTCTACTTTATGTATTTGCACCTCGGTGCGTCGTCATATATAGAATAATTAATGACAAGTCAAAGAAGAAAATATAGAACACTCGAAAACGTTATTTATATAATATTTGTTCTGACTATATAGAACACCAATTTATGATAAGACAAGTTTTTCAGAGATCCAACAAACCTTTAATCATCGATCAGAATTGTAGATTATTTTCTCTCACATGTTCTCTGATAGACAAGATATTAAAAATATCTTCACAGTAAGGAACACAATAGCATAACTAAGTTTTTTCTTAAGAAAAAAATAAATCAATGTAGAATTTATGTTCCAACTGTTCTAATTGACTAGAAAAAATGACTGATATTTAGGTTCATAGTAAGCATTAGATCGTTCTTGTCTCGATTATTTCCTAGATCAAATAAGAATAATTGTTTTAAGAGATTTCTTGCCGTTTAGTAAGTACAGTATTATGTCTATATCTCATCCTACCGTAAATGATCGAATACTCGATTAATAGATTATTAAATCATGAAAGTTCGCAACTGCGTACAGCCCAATGAAATATCATCGTAATATTGTGCTTACTAAATGATAATATACATAAACGTTTTTTAGCCATTTCGGCAATTACAATCATCGTCCTGCATCAATCTCCTTTGAAATGAAAGAACACTCGTGAATATATTCTTTTCAAAAGAATCCTGAATTATATAGAGTTCACACGAGGAGAATTCGACATTCGCGATTCTCTGAACTCGTAGTTGTCATATACCTAGTTTATACAATACTAACTCTTTCTTATCATAACTATTAGCATACAACACAATTAAAATTATAAATGTGGAGCGAACAATACACACTAATACTAATATTTTAGTTTTGTGTTACATTTCTAATAACATACAAGCGACTACGAAGCAGAGATATGTCTAAATACATACTTGATCAAATGTTTTTGCTAAAGTGAATATCATAGAAACAATATGACCTTCACGGGACTCGAGTCACGTATCTTCTGCTATCCGGACATACATCTTAGCCAGTTAGGCTAGAAAGACATCTTAATCTTTCGTTTAGCATCAGAGTGTATGTGTCATCACTGACGCTAACAATTTCAAATTGTGAATTATTTAATTGTGTTTTTATATGATGCTAATTCATTACATAAAGCAATNCCACCCCACACCCTCCCCCCCCCACACCCACCCGCCCACCCCCCCACACCCCGCCCCCCACCCCCACCCCCACCCACACCCCACACCCACCCACACCCCACACCCACACCAACCCGGACATTTGTCGAAATGTACAATGCGTTCAAAGAAAAACGAAAAATGTCCGTTTTATCGTACTATTTTGTCATTTCTGACTGCTTGGATAGGGTATAACATATCATCATCATATTTTAACCATTCTAATTATGTCACGCCAGTTGTTCGTAGCCACCTAAGACCAATGCCATATGTTGATGATATCAGTTCATCTCCTCTATTAAATAATCCACATTTATATCTACGATAGACATCTATACAAATGAATGATGTTTATGAAGTTAAACCATTAGGTGGTAGAAAAAAAACGGTGGTATGGATCGTGTAGCAACAATTAGGAAATAACTTCAGCAAAATTGAAATAGAATCACTGTTATAGTGAGTGATATTATTAGTTCATCAGCATTAGGTATAAAAAGAAAAAAAAACAAAATTTATTAACAAATCTCGAAAAAGAAACATATGAAATAAACTATTTTAATGATTAAATATCAACTTTGTTTTTATAGACAAACAAAAAACAGAAGTTTTTTCTATTGATTTTAGTTTATTTAGTAAAATAATTGAATTTTGTTATATAAAATATGAGAATTTTTGACCATTATCAAATCAATCATATCTTAGTATAACATCACAACAAACATTAACAATATTTACTGAACAATATATTAAAAATATCTTCGTAATAATTTACATTTAAAATCGAATGTACTTATTGATATTGATATAATTGAACATAATCCAAGTATTCATGTATTTATTGGTGGACATCAAGATGAAAATTATTATTTAAAACGTCGATCAATATATATACACCTATATATATAAAGATGATGGTAATGCACTTACACTATTTATTCATCGTTTTGCATATCAATCTAAAACAAAACAATTATTTAGATTTTCTCGACTTACACAACTATCAGAACATTTTTCTCATCAACCAAAAACAGCTGAAATAGCAATTTATTTCTATCAAACTGGTTTACAAGCATATCGAGAGGAAGGTAATTAAAAAACAAACCCAAAAAATTCTTTTTTTGTATATTTAATTAACTCTATTTATATTTTAGGCTTTGTTACCTGATCGTATAGTATGTGTCTTACCACTTCGATTTATTTTCCATGGTCCTTCATCAATAATACCTTCTCAACAATCACATTTAACACGTACATTATGTTATGCTATGATAGATGCAACTTATACAGGAATATGTCTATTTAAATCAGCTACTATTTCTATTGATGATCAAATAATGGGTAGAATAACACAATATGATATATAACGTTCTTTACCATTTCCAGCAACTGTCTTATAGCAAAACGTGTTAATGGTTCAAGCCTTGTTAAACTATTAAATCGTCGTTCAATTAATATAAATACTGGTATGTTTATATCTTATTCTGGTTTATAATATGATATGCAATAACAGTAAATTGGTATCTACAATTTAATCAACAATTAGTTTATAATGAATATTTACAATTAACTATTGTTTCAATATCTTATATTTTTTTATCACAGAGATTTAAAATATTTAGCGACAATTTTAAAAAGACATACAAGCGAATAAGAAAAGCTTTTATTGAGTATCTTGAACGAACATATCAAAAAGAGGAGAAGCATCATCAATTACCTTCATAGATCTATCTATATGTCCAGAGATTTATCCAGGAAAAAATTCATCTTTTGTTTGTATGAATGAATGAATAAATAAATTTAACAAAAAAATATATATTAGATTAGTTTGTTTGCTTTTAAAATATAAAATTAATTTAATGTGATATTTTATTGATTGTTGTATTCTAATAAAATAAAATCTAAAATAATATTGTTGTTTGATAGATATGAGAAAATTTTCCTTAGACAACATTTCAATTTTCAAAATAAATATTTTAATAATTGAAAAAAGAAAATAATGATTGACATTATGAAAAATATCAAAAAAAGAAAATAAACGGTTCCAAACGTAATATAACCATGGCATACTAATTCTTATTTCGAAGGTCGACATTCTCAAATAAATTCTTGACCTACAAATATTTATCATGTAAATATCATCGATCGATAATCGATCAATTAAAGAAGAATTATGCATTCAATATGGTTACCATGAAACATTGGCAACAATATCAAACAGTCTCGACGATATAGAATATTTATTTTTCGGATTCAACAAATGACTGACTTAATGAAAATTGAGATTATCTTATAAAATATTGAATTATATTCACACATTTGTCTTATTAGAATTACTTTATCTATTACAAACTTTTATTGATTTTTCTTCATAAACGAATGATGAATAAAAAATGTCGATGAAACAGGACTATTTTCACGATATAGATTTCTACACGAAAAAAGATTAACTATAGAATCGCCCTATTTATCCGACATTGTATGTTCGATCGTGCTGAAACTTTTTTTTTGAAAAATTTTGCACTGTTGATTTTTGGTAGATTTTACAAACAAAGCTCGAATGAGAAGAACATGTTTGCTTGATCTTTTAATTCGAATGGAAGGAGATACAAAAAAGTAAGCACCACAAACAGTCTCCAGTGTCTCGAAAAAACAAAAAAATTCAACTCTATTCGACATATTGTGGCTGATAAGGCAGGACGATTTTCAGCCTTTACGAGTCAGATATTTCTTAGAAGTCGAAGTCTTTTCGAATTGAAATTCTATCACAAGTTTTCCTCTACTCATCGAAATTTATCTAGATTGATAGTTCCAAATAATTCTGATGAGCAGTTATTCACGAACCTCGAAAACCGATGGAGGAGTCTCCTGAACAATATCACTCAAATTAATATGTATCTTGGATATTATCAATATCTTATTAAGCATTTCTAATCATTTTTACTAACCTATTTTCTTATATTTGAATAAATTCTCAAGAAAACAAAAAAAAATTTCATTTCAAATGTTTCAATCTATATCTTCAAATTTTATTAAACATAAATAACAAACAGAATAAATATACAAATATTTTCTTCAATAAATACAATACAAAATTTCTTCATAGTCAATTCAATGTGACGCATACGTCGATTAGCTTTTATTTCAGCTTTAATTGGAGAGTATTTCATTCTATGTGCTTGATCATCTGATAAATGATAACGTCGACATTTATCAGCATCAACAATTCGACATTATCTTATCATTTTTTCATTATCACCCAGATGATCTTATCAATAAATATTATTTGATTCACCATTTCCTTTACAACAATACACATTCAAGATATTCACCAAATTGTTCACAACACCGACAAGCTTTTCCCATTAATGATGATAAATCAAATGAAACTGAACGAAATGGTTATGGAATCGATGAACGATTATCACTATTTGATAATGATCATGTTAGAGATGATGAAATCTGAAGACATTGAAATAATTATAATATATGGGTGCGATCAACTGGCAGGATACTCCATTTCGATACACTCCTATTGTACGGATAAAACATACTATTGTTCGGGTCATATAAGAGAGGATCGTAGATAACCCTGGATTGGCCCGAACAACATCATGTTTTATCCGTAGAATAGTAGAGAAAAGCTACCAACTCACACGATAAGCTCGTAGCTTTTCTCAACTATTGTACGGATAAAACATGATGTTGTTCGGGCCAACCCAGGGTTATCTAGGATCCTCTTTTATATGACCCGAACAATAGCATGTTTTATCCTTACAATAGAAGTATATCGAAATGGGGTATCCTGCCAGTTGATCGCACCCATATATATATATATATACAATTTTTAAAACTTACTATTTATGGTATAGGACTTGAAGCAATAATTAATGGTACATCTGACATAAATTATGATTGAAACTAAACATTTATATTTATTTAAAATATAGTTAGAATAAATAAATTCATCACTTACTAAAGTTGGACAAGTAGGAAATAAAGGAGATGGTGAAGAACAACTACAGAATGATTTCATAGATGTGATGATCATAATCTAGAAAACTTTAAAAAATAGAATTGAAAACAAACTATTAAAATCTTAATAACATATCAATGAAACAAATGTTGAATTGTTGAAATTCATTATAGTGGAAAAAAACAACGAAAGAAAATCAATAGAAAATAAAATTCAATTATGATAGGAAACATTCTCTCGAAGTCAATATATATTTTTATTCGAAATAGTTTACAAGTTCTCTTACAAGTAAACAAGCGGTATCAAATAGGAATACACTAATCATTAGAACACATAGATATTCTTTTATTCGTTATTAACACCAAACATAAAATAATTTTCAATAATATATGCATCAAAACAAACCTACATAACATATTTAATTATCATTAATAAAATATATTCATTCTTTATTTATAAAATAATATTTATTTTATTTAAAATCATATATTTATTTTTTTTTGAGTTAATTCATATGTTGATAAAATCTATTAATCCAGTGGCGTAGCCAGGGGGTGGCCATTGGGCAATCGCCCTCAATAGTTAAAAAGTTATTGCCCAATAAATTTTTCAGGCAATAGCAATGGCCCAATGCAGAAAAGTAATGATATACATTTACGTTTGAAAATTCAGATGATATTATTTTTACTCTGATTGT